GCTTTGTTAACTTGGCACGTGCATCGTCTTGGGGCAATTGCCCTGTGGTGATGAAGACCCGCCGTCTTCCTCATGATTTGGAAGAAGGGGAGGGCCCTCTCGGCTGACTTAGATAGGAATCGGTTGAGGGCCGCCAGGCGACCCGTCAGCCGTTGAACTTCTTTGACGTTGCGTGGAGGCTCCATGTTGATGATGGCCTGAATCTTCTCGGGGTTGGCCTCAATACCCCTTCGGCTGACCATGTAGCCCAAGAACTTTCCTCCCTGCACGCCGAAGGTGCATTTCTTTGGATTTAGCCGGAGGTTGAATTTTTGCATGATGGCAAAAATCTCCCGGAGGTCGTCGGCGTGGGTGCTTGCCTTCTTACTTTTGACGATCATATCGTCAACGTAAGCCTCCATGGTGCGTCCTAGGACAGCTTGAAAGACCCTAGCCACCATGCGTGTGTAGGTGGCGCCTGAATTTTTGAGGCCGAAGGCCATCACAAGATAGCAGAAGATGCCTTCGGGTGTCATGAAGGCAGTTTTTTCAGCGTCTTCCTCATGCATGTAGATTTGATGATACCCGCGGAATGCGTCGAGGAAGGACATGATTTCGCATCCCGCGGTCTCATCAACCAGCTGATCAATGTTTGGCAGTGGGAAGGGGTCCATGGGGCACGCCTTATTCAGATCCGTGTAGTCCACGCACATGCGGAAGGTAGGAGGCTTCTGTGCGAGGACTACGTTTGCCAGCCAAGAAGGGTATTTCACCTCTTTGATGTGCTTGATGGAGAGGAGCATAGATACCTCCTTCTTTACGAACTCCCTTCTCTCGGCCGAGAGGGGTCTTCTCCGCTGTTGCACTGGTTTGGCCGAAGGGTCTACCGCTAGGCGGTGGGTGATAACCCTCCGGTCAATTCCCGGCATATCCTCCGGCCCCCATGCAAAAACAATGGAGTAGGCGCGGAGGGCTTTGGTGATGCCAGCCTTCAAGTCTTCGGGGAGCTTGGCCCCAATCTTCAGGACTCTCTCCGGCTTGGCCGGATCGAGTAAGAAATCTTCGGTCTCCTCGGCAGGTTCAGCCCTCGGCCTACCTTCTTCTTCCTCCAGGGCCTTGGCGGTGATGGTGTCAATCCGAAATTCAGTTTTACTAACCTTCTTGGTAAGTTGAAGGTAGCAGGCCCTGGAGAGCTTCTGATTTCCCCTCGAGTAACCGACGCCGGTAGGCGTGGGGAACTTGAGGCAGAGGTGCCTCATGGAGATGACGGCTTCCAAGTCCTCGAGGGCAGGCCGGCCGAGGATGATGTTGTGCGCGCAGTCGAGGTTGACGACGACGAATTCCACTTCGAGCTTGGCTCTATGGGACCCGTCGCCGAATTCAACCACGAGGGTGATGATGCCTTCGGCATCTATGCTGTCCCCCGTAAATCCGGAGAGGGGGGTGTTGATGTGTCGGAGGGACCCTCTGTCGAGTCTCAACTCCTGAAAGGTGCTGAGGTACATGACGTTGACAGAACTCCCCGTGTCGACATAAGTCCTGTGGATGATGGCGTCGTTGATCTCGGTGCGGATGACGAGGGCATCCCTATGCGGCAGAGAACCCGAGGGTAGGTCTGCATCTGTGAAGAAGATGGGTTCCCCCCTCGGCCTCTTAGTTGGGGGCACGTGGCTGACCTCCCCAACGTAAAGGGATTGAGCCCACTTCTTCCGCTGGCTGGTGGAGTCTCCACCAGTGTTGCCACCATTAATCATGTGGATGTGGCGCTTGTATTGTTGGTGGGAGCCCTCTCCCTCGTCTTCGAGGCCGCCAATTTCACGCTTCTTCCCATGCGGGTTTCCCAGGGGAATGGTGTTGGGGTTCACCCACTTGTTTGCCTTCGGCGGAGGGCCTTGATGATGTGGGGGGCCCTGGGGAGGAGGGCCCCGGATAAATTGAGACAAGTGGCCCGCCTGTATCAGCCTCTCGATGGCGTTCTTCAGATGATGGCAGTCGTCGGTTTTGTGTCCATGGTGGCGGTGGAAGCGGCAGTAGGGCTCATCAGGACCGATGGCATAAATCTCGAGGGGTGTGCGGGAGTCTCGCTCAACGAGCCCCCGCTCTTCCGCATGATCAAGAATGACGCTGACGGGATGCGTCAAGGGAGTGCGTGGGTGCTCAAGGAGGACAGGTTGCGCCCATGCCTTCGGATTATTCTTGTAACCGCCCCCCGGGTCTGGCTTGGCCACCTCGGGAGCGATCACTGTGATGGGGCTCTCGGTTGACCGGAGGGGGAGGCCCTCCGGGCCGATTCCTGCCCTCATTCTTCTGAGAAGGATCCGTGTTGCGGCGGTCCTTCTCGATTTCCTCTGCTTCGGCATAACGGTCCCCCCGCTGAAGGGCCTTTGTATAATCGCGGGGGGGATCAGTGATAAGGCTCCGAGAGAAGTTACCGTTGCGGAGGACGGTGTGGAAGAGGGCCATTAGTGTCCTGTCATCAGCGCCTTCGACCTCGAGGGAGGCCTGCCTCCAGCGTTCCAGGAAACTCCGAAGGGTTTCCTCCTTCTGTTGTCTCACGTTTAGAAGGTGGGAAAAGTGTTTCTTCGAGCGGTGCCTCCCTGCAAACTGCGTAAGGAAGCGGTGGGCAAGTTCTTGCCAAGAATCAATGCTGCCTTCGGGCAATCGGTTGAACCACTCATACGCCGGTCCCTCCAAGGTGGAAAGGAACCAACGGCATAAGTATTCATCTGATGCCCCCATCATCATCATGCTGTTCTGATAACGACTATAGTGCTCTTGGGGATCCGTCTTCCCCTCATACGGCTTGATGGGTTGCCCCCGATATTTGTGGGGGATTTTGGCCGCCAACACCCTTGGGGTGAAGGGTGTTCTAGTGCGGAGTTGGATGAGGGGCTCGCCCGAGCCTTCGGCGAGCTTACGCTTCATTTCCTCCACTTGCGCCCGGAGGTCAGCGTACTCTGGATCTGGCCTCGCCGTGGAAGCCGTCGGGGGTGCCTGACGATTCTCCTCGAGTTGACGGAGGAGGGCTTCAATGATTTCGTCCTTGGGATCCTTCGGGGCAACCCCTTGGGAGTTGGCCCGGAAGGATTGCGCTTGTGTGATTTGGTGCCTGGCATCACTGGCATGGAGGAGGGCTTTGCCTTTGCTTCGGGGGGGAGGCACGCCCTCGGCCCCCGAAGCGGAGGCTCCACTCTCCTGGGGCCTGCTGATTTCCTGTCTGCCGAGACGGTCTTGGACCCCTCGGCATCCGGGAGCTCCCCCAAGCCTCTCAAGTGCAGAGGTTCGGGGCTTCTCCTTCATCATGGGGCGCTTGTCCCTGGATTGGGCCTCCTGGGAGGCGGTATCCTGTGCTATGATCCCCTCGGCATTGCCAACCCCCGGGGGAGGGTTGTTGAACAAGGGAGGGAGTGGTGGTAGGTTGATAACATTCCCCCCAGCATAGGGCTGAAGGGGTGCCTGAGAGGCGAGGGCTCCGGAATTGAGAGCCATATTTTGAACAAAGGCCGCAAAGGCAGCCTGAAGATCGATGGCCGAGGCCGGAGGAGGAACTTGGTTCTCACTCCGATCCCTCCTTCGAGTATCAAGGCCAATGCGGGCATCAGGGGCATTCTTCTGTAGCTGCTGACGGAGGTCAGCAGTAGCCTGCTCTAATTCGAGGATAATACCACCCTCCGGCACTAAGAGCCGGTTGGAGGCCTCAGCCCCATTGGTTTCGCCGGGGGCTACGTGGTTCTCCTCCAGGGTTTTGGATTGGGCACGAGTGGTTCTCCCCATTTTTGGTGAGTGTTTTGTGTTTGGTAGAGGGGGAGGGTTTCTTACTTGATAGTTCAGACCTCTCAACGAGAGCACCAAATGATGGATAGTCTACCCGGGGGGTATCTTATCCGAGGGGTTATTGCGGGAATAACTAGAGAGAAGTCAGAGCAAATAGGAGGAGAGAGAGTCGATTTTATTAAATGAACTCGAGATGTGGAGTTGAGATGTAGATTCTGATTTACAAGGAGAAATGGACTGCTATTTATAGCAGCAATAAATGCGATGAGGGGACACGTGTCAGTAATCCAACGGCCGAAGGGTCACATCAGCCGGTTGGCACCGGCAGTGGTACGTTCACCGCATTGAATGCGGTTGGCGGATGTGACGCGGCATTAAATGCGGTGGTTGGCTGTCTCCAAAAGGAATCTTCGATGATTGAGCTAGTTCAGCCGAAGGCTCCTTGTGTAGCCGAGGGCTCCTTGCGTAGCCGAGGGCTTCATGTATGGCCGTAGGCTCAATGTGTAGCCGAAGGCTTGGTTCAGCCGAGGGCTTCCCCTGGTGCCGAGGGCATGAGAATGCCGAAGGCTCATGTCTTTGCCCGTTTTCTTCCAGCAGCTCCTTATGCCAGAGAAGGCTATCCTGTGAGTTTTGGAGCCTTCGGCCAAGGAGGCCGAAGGCACCCAGTGTGTATTCTGGGCTACTTTGAGGCTTGGGCCGTTGTATCTGGGCCTGAGTTGTTCTCTGGGCTCAATGGACTTGTGTAGGAGAAGTAGGAGTCTATGGGCCGGGGGTTCCTGGGCCATATACTCCATCAACATTCTTACATCTAATTACAAACATCTTATTTTTTAAAATACTTATAGAAAATTAGCTAATTCAATGAACGTGTTAGAATAGCTAATTAAATTTACTATGCATGTATAAAATACTCCCTCCGTCCCTAGAAGAACTTTCATAGTACAAATGACACGAGGATTAAGATAGCAGGTACTGTATGATGGAGAGTTGTGCAGAAGAGAGAGAAATGTGTAAGAATTACCGTGAAGGAAAGTTAGAAATATTTTTAGGGGCAAGAGGAATAAGAAATTTCATATTTTTAATTTGTTAGGGTTCTAGATATTAAGCACTTTTCTTAAAAAAGTTAATGCCTTTGTCTCAATAGTCAATTTATGGGGCTAGTTTTGGTTCACACACAGCGATGTGAACAAGTGTGTGGGTACATATATCATGATATATGTGTGGCAGATCATTAGGTAATTTCAAAGCAAGGAAGAAGAAAGAGATGGGGATGAAGAAATGCGGGGCGTCAAGACCAATTTTTATTCGATGGCTTGCCGCATTTGCTGTTACGGCGGCGGTGGCGGCGGCTCTGCCCTCCCCTGATTCCGACGTAATCGACGACCTAAAGAGGAGTCTCCATGTTAACGACACCTATTGGAATCCCACTTCCGAGCGGTGCGAATGGCCAGGCATCCTGTGCGATAGCACTAATAGCTTTGTTGTACACGTCGACATTCCGATGTACGGTTTCGCCGGAACTCTGCCGGAGAATCTCGGGAAGCTCACCGGATTGATCACATTCGATGCGAGTGGGAACAACATCACTGGGGCAATTCCGGCCTTTAACGGGTCGGTCCAACTTAGTACCCTCAGCCTTGACCGTAACCGGTTCACTTCAATCCCGGACGCTCTGTTTCACTCCAAACCTCAACTGTCTTTTGTTTCTCTGGACTACAACCTTCTCCTTCCGCCATGGGAGCTCCCTGAAGCTCTGGCAAACTGTTCACAGCTCGGCTACTTCTCCGCCATCAATTGCAACATCCGCGGGCCCTTCCCGGCCTTCTTCAAACAGAATTCCCAGTTGTCCGTCCTTCGATTGGCGGGCAACAATTTATCCGGGCAGCTCCCTTTCGACCTGCCCGTATCCTTAACCACTCTGTCCCTCGGTCACCAAGGCGGAGCATTGTCCGGCAGCATCTCCGGTATACAGAAATTGACCAACCTTATCCACCTCTGCCTGGACGGGAACACATTTTCCGGCGAAATACCCGACTTATCCCACCTCATAAAACTGAAAGAATTCGTCGTCAGCCATAATCATCTTACCGGTCCGGTGCCGGAGTCCATATCGGCGATTGAATCTTCCTTGACACAAGTGAATTTGTCCAATAATCATCTCAGTGGCGTTATACCACAAACACTAGCGGAGTTTGCTTTAAGCGGGAAACTAGATGTGTCTAATAATAATCAGCTTAATGGTACTATTCCTTCAAACCTTCCCAATTTCCCCCAACCTTGTGACAATGTTTATTAGTAAAAAGATCCCAGACTTCTAATTTTCCCTCAATAAAATGTCATCCTTGAATAATAAAAAACACCCATAATTATGACATTTCTGGGGAGAAATTAAATGTTTTTGAACTTTAAATTATGGCTTTGTTATAACTCAATGTAATCTCTACTGCTAGTCCTTGTATGGCAAATTGGCAATTACTTGTGCGGATCTCGCCTTGGTTGAAAATGGGGGAGCCAACTGATTTGTTTTGGGCTTATAATTCACTTTTTAATCTTGTTTCTTTTTAATTCTTGGCCTTATATATTTGTATTTTTAAATTATAGAAGATGATGGTGTATTTGTGTCTGAGTTAACAATTATATAGTGGTGATGTGTTGGAGGAATTCGGCTAGATAAACCTGCAAAAAATCGTTAGAAAATAATATAGCTCGAGTCGCGTAAACGCTGTCCTCAAAAAAGTATTTCCGACTAACGAAAACCTTTCACCAAGATAAAACGAGCTCTTCGGCATAAGCCGGTAACAGAACAACGAGAGTAGAAAATGATTAATCCAGCCAGAGTTCAAAAATACTATGTGAGGGAGTTGTACTTCACACGTGATTATCAAAATAATCGAAGGACTGAATATTCATCTCTACTAACTAAGCATGGCAGCCGATTAGTTTTTGTATTGAACAAAAGTTCATCATCGCTGCCGGGAGAAAACCGATGATCAAAATTGAAACGTTGATTGATCATAAATATACTTTTAATAATAATGACAATAATAATGAGAGCCACAACTCATATAACGGTTTTTGCAAAAGCTCAATAGAAAATGTGTATTACTGCATGTATGTTAATAATCACAACCTGATCAACGATCATAACCTTCATTCTCAATATAGGTATATAATAATTTTAATTTATTGATGTAAAAGTAGAAGTATATATAAAATGTATAAATATTTATTATATAAAATTAGTGTGTGAAAACTAATTAAAATAAGGGAAATTTACCGGAATATGACTAAAACTCAATGAGTTTCTGAATCTATGACTTAACTAGTTTTTATACCTTTGTATGACCAAAAATCCAAAAACAAATAGAAAATTCGTTTATATTTAAATGTTGAATGACGAAAATACCCTTATTTAAAATATATGCATTTTGCACTAATTTCGTCCAATTAAAATTATTGCACTTTATATTGCCGTTAATGCACAACATTAATGCATGACTTTACTGCACATCCGGTAATAATCACTGCACTTCCCCTAAAATTAAATCTCTTCTTATTCGATTGAGGATTTTTTTTATTTAACAATTTTATTATTTTACATCTAATTAAGTATATTGCATTTCATGATGACTTCACTGCTTTGCGTTACTGCAGTACTTGTAATAATCACTGCACTTCTGTCAAAATTAATTCTCTTCTCATTCACTTGTGCACTTTATTTTTTATTTTTATTTTTCGTTTTTTAGATTTAATAATTTTATTATTTTATTTCAATTATGTAAATTGCACTTCATGATGATATTACTGCTCTGTATTACTGCAATATTAGTCATAATCATTGCACAACAAAATTTTCTCAATGCATTCATTTACTGTCATGTACAACATGTCTATTACCATATATATTCACTGCCCCGTACACAACACTTATTAAATGTTCATTGCTGATGTTCAATGCCATATTTAATATTCACAAATCATAATCAATACCCAAAACCCTAATTTCACAAATATACAAAAATAAGAAGTGAAAAAGTTTAAAGAATTGAAATACAGAGTAGTAACACTGTCGATGAACAAAACCATGCCATGGTCCAGTAAGGCAAATCCTCATCCACATAAAAGAGATTCTTGCAGAACATTTGTTCCATATTAAACTGAGGAGAGACAGATACTTAATTTCATCCACGAATAGCGACGAGCCTACCTCTTCGATAGAGTCCTTGATGGTCCAGCCCTGAAGGCGGCGGCAAGCATGGTTCGAACCGGCGGCAGCGCACTATGGTCTATGGACTGCGGCTGGGTGCTGGTGTCGATCTGAAAGTGGCTGCAGCGAGCAAGCCTAATGTTGGGAGTGGTCGGGCAAGCAAGCGCCTTGATGCACCAGTGCCGGCGATTGTGCTTCTGGACGGCGGCAAACCATCGAGCGGCGGCGGAAAGCGGGCTGGCGGCTGGTGGCTGCAGGGGGTGTGGCGGGCCGCAGGGTGGGTGGATCCGTGGAGGCGGAAGACTGAAACGCTAGGGTTAGGATTAAGAATAGAAGGTTAGAGTTTTATAGATATAACTTAAGGGTAAATTAGTCCATAAAAATTATTAATTAATTAATTAATTACGAAATTAATTAGATTTTATATATTTAAATATTATTTTGAGGAAAAAACTGGTTAGGTCATAGATTGAGAAAGTGAGGAAGTTTTTGTCATACCTAGGGTAATTATCTCTTAAAATAAGTGGCATTTTATTCATTTGAAATACTCCCAAATTTCCAACAATCCCCCACATATTTCAAATGAATATTTTTAGTTTATGAAAGCTAGTTTAGAATTTTTTTGCTGGATTAAAGAAATGACACTTTAAGTTTGGTGTCCGTAGACTTGAAACCAAACCGAGACGATTAAGTCTTAATAAACTGAGCTTTTGGTGAAACGTATAGTTTATTGAACCGACAAGCTATTATTGGTAAATCAGGGTCTTAACGGTTGTGTCTCACCCCACACAATTTCTCGTTATTACGCCGTTGTGCGCCGTAAGGCCATGCACGTGCTTGGTTTTCATGAGTGCTCTAGAAGTTTTGTCATGCTTCATGGAGGCGGCCCTACCTCACACTCATATAGGTGATATCATCAAGTGTGTACCGCTTTGCAAACCACCCTTAAATTAAGGGCTATGATAATCATTAAGAGCTTTTGGCTCAGCCTTTCAAAGAAGGCGGTTTCTAGCCTATATCTCACATCATGGAAATGGGCGATTTTAATTAGGCTAGCAGAACTAAATGGAAGACTTGTTATTACCCATTTGAACTTGCTTCATGGGATCTCCAATCACACAAGTTATGCTATTTTTTACTCCAGGGGAGGTCTGGGGGAGGGGGGCTGGGGGGGAGCCTGGAGTAATCAGGGCTAAAACTCACTCCATTGAGTTTCCAACCCTTGTGTGCCTATCGGGATTCGAACTCGAGACCTCCCACTAAGCATGGTAAGCTCACAACCTGCTGGGCTGGAATGTTTGGTTAGGCATTCCTTCTCAAAGACACAGTATAAATAGAAAAAGAAATTAAGCGAGAACTGATTTGGGGAGGCCAGACCTGACCCAATCAGTTGAAATACAATAAATAAATGTTATAATCTAAAATGTGGCCAACCAAATAAATCCGCATAGTAACTCTATTTAGCCCGAATAGGAAGTTGATCCACCTGATTGAACATAATTAATTGGGCCTCACTATTACCTGCTCCAACCAAGAAATGGGCCACAAAATTCCCTTTGGGAAGAGTATGTTCGAAAACCAGCCTCCTGCCCACAACCCGTCTTCTGAATGTCTGAAACAACCAAACACCTGCTCGTTGGCATCATCTGAGAAGAAGGAGATAGAGTTCGCCGCATCTCCTTCCACCTGAAAGTATTCAAAACCCAAGTTCGCCGCATCGCCTTAACTTGCTTCATGGGATCCCCCAGATAGCTCCCGCTCTACCACTAGTTATGCTATTTTTTGAGATCCTAATCTTGTCTCTTAGGGTCCAAAATAAAGGAGCCTACTACTAATTAAATCTTCCACCGACGCAAAATATTGTGCTATTGCCTACAACGGTCCAAGATATAGTGCATATATATTCGGTAATGTTCGAGCTTGTGTTTTCCGTCACTGTTCCAGTGCACCTTTTCTGTGATAATATTTATGCTTCCTACTTGGCTGTGAATCTTGATCAGCATACACGGAGCAAGCACATTCAGATTGATTACAATTTTTTTTGTGGACGAGTCGTGCATGGAGTTTTGATTGTGAAATATGTTCCCACTCGTCTTCAACTTGCTGATATTTTTACTAAGAGTCCTTCTAGTCACCAATTTCATTTTTTAAAAGACAACATGCGCGTTGTATCTCCCACACATCTTGATGGAGTGTAATAATATACTTATTTAGGGTTATTTGTGTTATTGACATTATTTTTACTGTTATAAATATATATGTCAGGGCTCCTACAGTAACTAATTTGCCAGAGTTAGTCATAGCAGGAGGGAGCAACTACAAGATTATGTCACTGATACCAGGAGGGATAATTTCTTAAAATACATTATGAGTTTCTAGATTCAGGACATTTCAGAATGACTATTTTTTGTTCAAAAGCTACTAACTCCATCTCGGGTTAAACTTCTAATTGAAAAGTAACAGAATCATTTAGACACCAATGAAATAAGGTAAATAGAGTATATTTCTAGAAGTAATTTCGATAGTATATAGTATCATGAGGCCGTTGATAATAACTATGATGTTATAAAAGTATTTTCTTTAATATTTGTTGATTAATTTATCATTTAAAAGTGTCAATGATTATTTCATAAAACAGAAATGAAAAGTTTTGGCTAGGACATTCAAAAAAGGCAAGTGAGAAGTTTAATTCTGAGATAGAGGGAGCTAGTACATTTTAGTAATATTAATGGGAGATCGAGATATCTAATCCTATCAAAAAGAATGAAAGTAAAAACTTGCTAAAATAGAACATAGATATGAGAGTAAAATGCATAAATAGTCTTTGAACTATCATCGCCATATTGCTTTGGTCCTTGAAGTATTAAATCTATCATTTTAGTCCTTAAATTAATCTATTTAATCTATATTAATCGAGTCCTTCCGTTGATATTTTCGGTTAACATTAACGGAAGCTACTTTATTAACATCTCATAATTTTAAACATTTTAGAACAATGCAATTATTCCTAAAATTTAAGTAGCTAATCTATTTTTTTTAAATATACATATATACACATACACATACACAAATAAAAATTATAAATACATAATTAAATAAATACTATAAAACCAAATGTATGGCTTAAATAACACATTGTATATAATAGAGAATCAAATAACTCATTAAATGCATATGAGCAAATAATACAAATGTACGCCATCATTTTTTTTCCCGCAAAAAAAAGTACTCATCCATTTTTCCAATACATGCCCTCATTAGTTTTTCACAAAATAATACTCCATCTTTATTACTATTTAAATTCATACTATCTAATTAATAAATTAATAAATATTTTTTGTGGACTAATTTGCTCTTACATTTC